CGAACCCAGAAAGCTGGCTGGGAGGCTGCAGGGACGGGCAGGCACCTGAGCAGGTCCAAGCAGCCATGGGGCCGGTGCCAGTTCTGTGCCGCTTCCTGGGTGTTCGCTGTTCCGTCCTTGGTGTGCTCAGCAAGCCAGAGCCGGCGGCGGCAGCAGCCGGGGAATCTCTGTGCCGGCTCCTCCATTGTCTGGGCTGGAGTGAGCAGCAGGCAGCAGGTCAGGGTGGGGGCTGCCTGTGGGGCCTTGGCGGGGGTGCAACCACTCCGACCCTGGGGGCAGACCCTTCCCGTGGCCCCGTGTGCGGCCAGCCGGGAGCACAGGCAGCGGGTCTGAATTCTTCCACAAGGGAGGCGGGCTGTGCCCTTTGCCACCCCAGTGAAAGGAAGGCCGGGGGGCAGCGCAGAAGGCCCGGTGCGGGCGTGCTCAGAGGGCCGCTGGGCCAAGGCCGGTGGCATGAGAGCACGGTGCTCCTGGGCCAGCTCGCTCCCCTTCCCTGAAGAGGGTCCAGTCAGCAACTCACACAGAGACGCCGAGGATGCCCGCCCATCCAAGGGCGCTGGCGGGAACACCCGAGGCGGGAAGGCGTCACAATCCCCGAGGCCAGAGCCCGGCGGCGGGGCCTGGTCCAGGTCGCCCCAGGTCTCCCAGTGAGGAGGCGCACGCATTGTAGGTCCAGAAATGGTGCAGCGCCGAGGCCTGGACATGCCTCAAGGGCGAGCCTGTGGGGACTGGGAAAGTGTTTGGCTGCGGGGGGGGGGGAACGATCATCAGGCCAGGGCGGAGGGTGGGCTGGGGGCAATGCCATGCCAACCAGACAAGGACCCCGAGTGCCAGGCACAGCCTAGGCCACCCCCGAGCCAGGGGAGCGCTTGTTTACGCTCTGCCCTTCAACCTATGGAATCGGATCACGTGCCAACGGCGTGTCCGTACTCCGTACAATTTGCATCACGTTAAGAACTAGCCTGAAATTCAAATATGGCACCAGGTATGTCCTATTTTATGTTTAACTGGTTCCAGTCGCGCCGGCTTTGGGTGGCCTGTTCATAGGCCAATTTGCAAGTCAACGGGAGGTCTGCAAAAAGGGGGAGCCTTTCGGACATTCCCCTCCTCCCGGAGTCTCTCCTCCGGGTTCATCCAGGCTCCTTACCATCAGTAGCCTATATAAGCAGACCTACCTATCCTGACCGGGGGGGGGGGGGGGATTTCTACCTGTGCTCTGGTACTCAGACATCTGAAAAAGCTGTCTATGCAAAAAGTGTATCTGATACTCAAGTACAGTGTTTCCCTGAAAATAAGATGGTCTTGTATTAATTTTTGCTCCAAAAGACACACTAGGGCTTATTTTCAGGTGAAGTCTTATTTTTTCATGTACAATCTACATTTATTCATGTACAAAAATCTACATTTATTCAAAGACAGTCATGTCGTCTTCTTCTGGAACATTGTCAAACCCCGAATTGTGTTGCAACGGACATACTAAATGCATCCGTCTGGCTGACAAACTTAACTGGGGCTCATTTCTGGGGTAGGGCTTATATTACAAGTATCCTGAAAATTGATTAGATGAGGCTGGGAACTTAGGGGCACAGATTAGAGTCACCCCCCCCCTGAAGTCGAGGGGCTCCTCAGGGCATTGGACATTACAAAGGCACCAGGCCCTGACGGGTTATACCCGAGAGTATTTGGAAAGTTGGCAGGGGTTCTCTCATGCCCGCTGGCCTCCATTTTTGAGACCTCGTGGAGAACGGGTGAAGTTCCAGAGGACTGGAGGGTGGCATCAGTGGTCCCAATTTTCAATAAGGGTAGTAGAAAGGACATGGGGAATTATAGACCTGTTAGCCTTACGTCCATTGTAGGAAAAACAATGGAAAGGCTCATAATAGAGAGAGATCTAGTGATGCTAGACAGGGAAGGGAGGCTGACAGCCACACAACACGGCTTCCACAACAACAGGTCCTGCCAGACAAACCTTGTGGGATTCTATGACACGGTTTCGAGATGGCTGGATGGAGGGGATGCAGTGGATGATGGGTTACCTGTATTTCAGCAAGGCCTCTGACAAAGTGCCCCATGATATCCTGGTGGAGAAATTGAGGAGTTTTGGGATACACCAAAGCACTGTCCAGTGGATTAGGGCATGGTTGACTGACCGAAAGCAGAAGGTAACCATTAGTGGGGAATAATCGGGATGGCAGCCAGTGACAAGCGGGGTCCCCCAGGGATCTGTCCTGGGGCTGATCTTGCTTAATCTTTTCATTAACGACATGGAAGAAGGGGTGAACAGTCTGCTGATCAAATTCGCAGATGACACTAAAACTGGAGCAGTGGCCACAACTGAGGAGCAGGTACTCCGGATCCAGAAGGCTCTGGACAGACTGTGGAAGTGGGCAGGAGACAACAGGATGGCGTTCAATGTGGATCAGTGCAAGGTCTTGCACTTGGGTCATAGGAATGGGTGTCATAAGGACAGGTTAGGGGACAAGTGGCTGGAGAGCAGCACTTGTGAAAGGGACCTCGGGTGCTGGTTGACTGCAGGCTACACATGAGCCAGCCATGTGATGCGGTGGTCAAGAGGGCGAACGCCACCCTTGGTTGCATATCCAGAAGTGTGGCTTCTAGATCAAGAGAGGTATTACTACCACTCTACACGACTCTGGTGCGCCCGCAACTGGAGTATTGTGCTCAGTTTTGGGCCCCTCGTTACAGGAAGGATACAGCCAGGTTGGAGTCAGTGCAGCGAAGGGCCACAAGGTTGGTGGCTGGTTTGCAGGGGATGCCGTATGAGACGAGACTGAGGGAACCGGGTCTCTTCAGCCTGGAGGAGAGGAGACTCGGAGGGGATCTGTTGGTGACAGATATGTACTTGGGGGGTTGCCACACGGAGGTGGGAGAGACCTGTTCTCCCCTGCAGAGGAAGGCAGGATGCACTCCAACGGAGCAAAGCTCAGGGAGCCAAGGTTCAACTTGGATGCCAGGAAGTACTTCCTGACAGTCAGGACCCCGAGGGTGTGGAATGGGCTTCCACAGGAGGTGGTTGAGGCCCCATCGGTGAGGGTGCTCCAGGACAGGCTGGACATGCACATGGTGGGCATGTCATGAGCAAAGCCGGCTGGAGCCAGGGGTCAGACTAGATGGCCTGAGAGACCCCTTCTGACTCGCTCTGTTTCTGTTTCTATCATGCTAGGGCTTATTTTTCGGTTAGGTCTTATTTTCGGGGAAACAGGCTAATTTATCTGATTCTTTAATCTGAACTTCGATTTGGCCAGCAAGTGGAACATTTTTACCCTCCGCGCATTTACGCAGTTGTGCCATTTTGCACACTTCCCCTGCCTGTGCATCCAGAAGATCGTCCTCTCCGTGGCCAGTTGTGACGAATCCGCCAGCCACGGTATCCTGACGGTCTGGACTCTGCTGACACAGCGGTTCCAAGCAGACCATCCAGTCCTGCTTTACCGAACGAGCTTCATTGACTGCAACTGGTCAGAGGAAAGGAGTCAAGCGCATTGCTGGCCCACTAACCACCCACCTTCTCGGCTTTTTATGTCTCGTAGGAAAGGAAAGTTCCGCCAGGATCGAAGTTGCAAATCTTTGGGAAAGGAGGGACTGCCATAAAGAAGGAAGCTAACCAGGACCAGAAGATGTCAACAACAACACTGCTTCCCAGGCAAGATGTTCTCCAAACCCTCGGATCCACCCGATGTTCCAGGTTCGATGAGGTTCGGGCCTGCACCTAGAATCCAAGCTGCCCTTGCTGAGCGGTGCACGGGTGCAGGGACACCTGGGTGACCGGCAGCCTTTTATTCCTTCACCCGTAGCATCTTTCCTGGCAAGCAACCAGGTGGGCACCAGCCGGCCTCCGCTGCTTCCACCCCTCCGTGGGTGGCTGTTCGCCGAAGGCAGAGCTGCCGTGCCCGCCCACGGCACATTCACCCCTTCCTTGTGTGGTCAACGCCTGCGGGAGGTCACCCAAGAGGTGGACCAGGACTTCTCCAGCACGCGGAGGGCACCCAGCTCCCTTCTCTTGTGTCAAATCCGGAACAGACGATGCCAACAAAGGGCAAAACAATCCAGACAAGGCAGAGGCCTGCTCAGTGGATGATTCCCCTTTCCCCTTGAATCGGTCTTGGGGTTTGTGGGGGCTCCGGGACTCCTGAGTGTGAGAGCCGTCCATTAGATTTTCATCAGCTGGGCTGGTCTCATCACCTGCAGCCCTGTCTGCCCAAGACCGCCCTGCCCCGCTCCAGTACCCTCTCCACTGGAAAGTTCTGGAAATGTCCGTTATTCCAAACCAGAGCGGTGCAAGCAACGGGATGCTTCCACCATGGAGCGCTCTGCCTCTCCACTGGCGCCGAGCCGCTGCTTTGCCCAATTTCAAGGCTCAGCCTTAACTCTTACAAGATAATTTGTGCTGGGGCAGAACACCTGAACAACTAACAGCTTCTTGGGCACTATATACCTACCAGGGCCCAAAGATCTTTGGGAGACCTTCTCCAGGTACCCCCATCGAATGAGGAGCAGGTAAAGGTTCTGTCAGTCCTGGACTGAGTCCCCAGAAGTACATAGAAACATAGAAACAGAGCGAGTCAGAAGGGGCCTCCCGGGCCATCTAGTCTGACCTCCAGCACCAGCCGGCTCCGCTCACGACATGCCCACCATGTGGACATCCAGCCTGTCCTTAACCCCCTCATGCCCACACCGTGGTCTTTGCAACACTGCTTGGCAGCTTTTCCTTCTCCCAAGCTGTTAGATCTTAACATCTTTTACTAATTTACAGAACTGCTACATTCTCGGCTTTTGAAATCTGAACCTCGTGATGGCGTCTTTCTTAAATCATGATGCTGGTGTGAACTCACTGTATCGGCTTCATTTTTCCCTGCTGGTTCTTATCCTCTTTTTGGATGTTCTGGCTTTTGGCTTTACCTTTTTATGAACGTGCTTCTCTAAGCCACCCAGTTAACCTTTTGTTATTCTTTGGAATGTGAACAAATAAATAAATAGCATTTACACGAAAGACATGTCATTAAATTATTCAAAGCATTAAAGCCATTCCATCAACACCGTCCAATTCAAAGTACCCCATAATAGCCACAGAACTTCAACGAGGAGCCTCCACCACGGACCATGGACTCTGCTTCGTGTCAAAACTTTTCTAACCTCAGAAACCAGGAACTGTCCCACCCGCTGACCTTGGAGGAAGAGGCTGACGGGCTGTTCTGTCCTGCATCTCCCTGGCATGCAGATTCTTGGATGCCAACGGAGGTTGTTCTCTGCCTGCAGGTCCCGCCACACTCCAAGGCTTTGTGAGCTTCCCGTGTGGATTCTCGGATGCCTTTGAAGTTCAATCTATGACAAAAGTCTGAGCACCGACGGGCTCTCCCTGCACCCCCTGTAAATTCCCTTGTGCCTCAAGCAAACTGCTCTCTAACCAAAGCTCTTTCCTCGCTCCAAGCATTTATATGGTTTCTCCCCTTCTCAATTTCTGATGTGAAGATTTTGCTACAATGAAAGACCTTCCCATGTTCCAGGCCTTTATGTGGTTTCTCATCTGTGTGTCTTTGATAGTTCGAGCTGCCTGTTGCCAAAGCACCTGCCTGGTTTCCTCCTGGTGTAGATTCTCCAAGGAGTACGGAAGCACGTTAGCACTCTTTTCTTTTTGTGTTATGGACTGAGTTCGTGTTCAGTTTCCCTGCGCCCTGGCCACAGGCTCACACCTCCGTCTCCTCCCCACAAGAGGTGTCGCTCGCTTCCCTGGAGTATCTTGATTCACAACACTCTCTCTTGGGTCTTCCTCCTTCCCGTAATGGTGTAACATCAAATTTCCCCTCATTTCCAGCCCGCTACCCTTTACCTGCTGGCATAAAGAGAAAACGGTTCAGGGGGAAACTCCTGGCACTGCCAGGCACTGTCCGGCAGTCCCAGCTTAGCTTCCTTCGCAGGTGTTTTTATTCTGGTAAGAAAAATGAAGGAAGAACCAGTGGGAAAATATGGGAGGATTCCAAGTGGAGGAGGATACAACCTGCCCCACCCCCTAAAATTCTGTGATCTGGACACGGTCATTGTCCCCTTGGAAGAATTGCCCTTCTCTGCTTCGGGAGCTCCATGCTGCTGGATATCCATCTGCTGGACTCTCTCAGCCAACAGGGAAAGTGAAAATCTCGAGGGATTCAGAGCCGGAGGACTCACCAGTCCCCAGCGCTACGGAGGGAACTCCCATCCGTGAGCAAGAAGGATGTTTCGACTGCACATTGGAGCAGCGACCTCGAGAACCTTCTCCTCCTCCAAGCCGCCAGCCATGGGATCGTCCGTATTGTTCGGCCTGCAGGGGCCGTCACCCCTGGGGACTGGAAGTCCTTCTTTAGGGGAAACAAACCAACCAGTTATTTCTGCTTAAAGCTCAGTGATTCCAGTCCTCGCTACTTTTGACTGGGTTGTGTTGGTGCTTGCTTCACAGTCAGCACTATCCATGAGAGCTGGAAATGCGCCTCCCGAAAGAAAGAGCCACTTTTCAAGGAGCAGTCAGGGCTCCAAGCGCTTGTCCATCTCTGCCTCGAGCTCTGGCCGCCTGGAAGCCTCTGGGATGCCGGCCTGCTCGGCTTTCTCTTCCCCCACAGGCCCACAAACAGCACCAACAGCAGAACCTTCTCCGTTTGTGGAAGACCCACGGTGGGGTCCCCCTTCCCGTCTCCCCTGCTTTAACTTAGAAACCCAGGTCCCGGTCACATTTGTCCGTGGCTGCAGCACTTGCCCTCTGCAGACAGGAGACACCCAGTCAAGCCCTCACTGGTTTGCTCCAGTGAGTGAGTTGGGGGCAAGGCTAAACACATAAACACACAGCGAGCTGTTCCAGAGTAACCTGGCGATGCGGCCTCACCTCACCACACATCTGCAGGCATCCAGCGCCAAGGGGACATCCTCGCAGGAATGCTCCCGCCCCACCCTCCCCAGCGCAGCCCACCCCTCCGCTCCAGAGGGAGAAGATGTGGGCAGGGTGCAGGGCAGCAGGGAGTCCCCTTCACCGGCAGGCTCTGTGCCGCTGGTGGGTGGGTACAACCGGACCGCAGCCCACACATGTTCGCTGGCCTTTACTCCCAGGAAAGTACTGCCGGACACCGCTGAGGCGTGGAACTGGCCAAACCATGAGCGAAGTGGCAGCCGGCAAAGCTGAGGAGGGAGGCTTTTCATTTAATTAGAGGACACGTCCAGCAGTCCGACAGAGGCGGTGGCTTCCTTCCGCTGGCGGCGAAATCGCACCTCCACCAACGGAACGTGAGTGGTCCCGGTGCAGGCAACCGCGCAACGGCTGCCCCTCTCAGAGGCACCCAAACGCGTTTGGAATCACAGTTCAACGACTCGCCACCAGTTTCGCCTTCCAGGTGGCTCGTCTTCTTGTTGTGCAGCTCTCCGTTTTCTCCACAGCACAAGGGACATATCTAGCTTATCGTGGCCTTGCACAACTTTTCGGAGGAAAGGTGTTATCAGATGTAAAATAAAGAGAACGACGTTTTCATACAGGGCGGAACTGGAGTTCTCTTTACATGAATACCCGTCTGGGGACAGCGCCTCACATCAGTTTGTGCTGTATCGGGAAACAGCAAGACAAAAGACCCTCTACAAAAAAGACCCCTCAGCCCACCGCAGTTCGTTCCGCTCTCTACCTAAAGGCGAGGCCCAGCCTGCTGGAGAAGTGATCGCTGGCGGAGATGCCCACACGCAAGACGTCACGAGAAGGACCTCCTGCTGCTGCTACAGTTCCCGCCGAACTCTTGGGCAAAAGCCTCTATGAGCCACGAGTGCAGCCCAGGTCAGCTGCATCATGTCCTTTTTGCTCTCTGGCCGTCCTGCCCCTTTCATTGAAGCACCCAAAACCAGTGGTTGTCCCAAACAGGCACCTGGGATTCCCTGACCAACGGCTTGCTGGGATGGATGGATGCACCTTTTTCCGGAAGAATCCCCCACAAAGGGTCTCCGCACAACCCATTCTCTGCTTCCTACGCACAACGAGCCTTCAGTTCGTGCCAAAACCGCCTTCACTTTTCCCATCGCTTGTGTGGATCCTGTGGTGCTTGTTGAGGTTGGCTCTCTGGATGAAGCTCTTCCCACAGTCTGAGCACTCGAACGGCTTCTCCCCCGTGTGGATTCTCTGGTGCCGACTGAGATTCGAGTTGCTGCTGAATCGCCTCTCACAGACGGGGCACTTGTGTGGCTTCTCCCCCGTGTGAGTCCTCTGGTGGCGATAGAGCACGGAGCTGGAGCGGAACGTCTTCCCGCAGGCGGAGCATTCGTACGGCTTCTCGCCCGTGTGAGTCCTCTGGTGTATTATGAGCTTCGAGCCGGAGAGGAAGAACTTCCCGCAGACGGAGCATTTGTGCGCTTTCCCTCCCGCGTTCCGGCTCTTCAATCCGCCGCTGCCCGGACTGAAATTCTTCCCGCAGGCTCGGCGCGGGTTCCGCTTCTTACCGGTGTCGATCCCCGTCTGGACCGTGGCTATGATGAGCGTCTGGTACTCCCCCTCGTACGGCCCCAGCTCACCTGCCGTGCCCCCCCGCGGGTGCGCCGGCCGCTGCTGATCGGCCACGGCAGGGTTCTGCGCAGCGCACAGGGGAGCAGCGTCCTCTGGGCCCCAGGCAGGCACCCCAAAGGGCCCCAGTGGCTTGGCCTCGTCCGCCGCACGTCGCTCCCGCTCAGCTATGGCCAGCCACCCCTTGCCTGCTCGAGAAAGGAGAGAATCGCGAGTGACTCGTGCCCCATGCTTCAGCGAGACAGCGTATGTGGGGAGGGAAATGGGAGGCCGATGGTGAGGGGCAAGTAGGACACCCCCTGCCGGACCCCCTTCGGGGGGGGGGGCTGGCGCAGGCTGGGGGAGCGGCGGCACTAGCAAGAGCTCAGAGTGCCTTGAGGAGGCCTCGCACACACCCCGAGATCTCCAGCCGGGGCAAGGTAAGCCAGCGCAGACGCAGCTCACCTCCGCAGCCACCTGGCGCCTGTCTGCTTGGGAGGGTCGTGGGATCTGCCCCACAGACCCCCCTTTCCCCACAAAAACTCCAGGGCAAGGCGAAGGGGCCAGCCTGTCCCTCGCAACCCGTCCGGGCACCGGGTGGGCTTTCCGGGCCTTCCAGGCCATGCCTGAGTGCTGGACTGGGCGGCCAACCCTCATCCTGCAGAGGGAGCCCTGGAAAGACGGAGGAAGGGGGACGGGACGCCGGCCCAGGGAAGCCCCTCTTACTGGACACGCCGGCCTCCTCCTCCTCCTTGGTCTCCACACAGAGCTGCGCTGGCCCGCGGTCCGCCTTGGGGAAAGCCGCCGCCGCCGCAAGTGCCACCTGCAACAGCCACAAGGAACCTTCTCCGCAAGGAAGGCCACGCCGGAGCAGGGCCCGAAAGGCCCGAGGGCCGCACCGTGGGCGCAGCAGCCCCACGCCCCCACGTGGGGGACAGGCGGACAAGCAGTGGCCCTCAGGGTATGAAAAACCTTCCGAGCCCCCCAAAGCGCTGGCCCGCACTGCCTCCCCGCTCGGCACCCGCCACTCTGGTTCACATGCGGGGACGGGGGATCCAGCACAGCAGCCCGGAGGCAACGCCGGAAACGGTGTTCTCCCCAGACACGCGAGATCGGGGAGGCACCAGCCTGGGCCTCGCGGCCCCCCTGCAGCCTCCACCTGGTCCGGGCCATGGTCCCCCCCTGCCCCATTTCTGCTGACCCCGGACGGTTTGGGGGCTTCCTGGCCCTCTGCCGTTTCTCCCCACTGTTCTTAAAAGTCGAAAGAGCCCAGCAAACACGCAGGTGTCAGCAGCAAGGGATCTAGGACAGACAGGCCGGCATTGGCCTGACCTGGCAGCCTTTGCCTTAAGCTCCTGCCCACCTCTGGAACAGCCCCCCCCCCCCCCGCAAGAACATCTCCAAACCGGATTTGGTCCATTAAGACTGCAGGAGAGTGCAGGACCCCCGGCTACCGAAAAGGACGGAGAGTGGCCACAACCATCTGCCACAGACGGCCTGACACAAGGGGGCGGGAAGCCTCCGAAAGGGAGCACTTTAGCCACCCGGCCCTCTGCCCAGCCGGCACAACAGAAAGGCGGCCAGTCAAGAGCCCGACTCCAGGTGCCTCGGGACCGACGTTCTCCCGTTGTAGCCGATGCTGTTTGTGCCAAAATGTTTCCCATTTTAAAATTAGCTTGTGCTTATAAACTGTACAGTATTATAAACACGCACAGCTACAGATTTTATAAACATGTTAAAAAACGGTATCGACTTAAAAAAATAAAACTGATGGCACGTGTAAACTGGATGTGGCCGCAGGGGCCGTTTCCCGCTTCCCTTTTTGCAGTGCTGCATTATGCACATCGGTTCACAGGGTTTTAATCGCCCCGCGCCTGCTTTTCACGCAAATCGCTTAGCGACGTTACATTAAGCAGTGTGGCGGGGGGGGGAGCACCAGCACCTGGTCCGCAACAACGGGAGGGAGGGACTGCCGTGCTCTGCAGGCCGAAAGGCCCGTGGTCACCCCTTCTGCCTCCGGTTCAACAGCGGCTCGCGGGCAGCGGGACTGGCGAGGCCCTGCCCACGACCTGGCAAGCTGGTGCCCGTCGGAGCAGGCACAACGGAGCCAGGGGAGAGGCGCCTGGCCCAGGAGAGGCGGGCGTGTGCTCACGGGAGCGTTTAACCTTCTACGGTTTTGGGGAGGTGATACAGGCTCCCCACACAGGTTCAGTGGCGCCATATTTCTTGGGATCATGGGAGAGAATGAGCTTTGGGGGCACAGGATCCCCACATGCCCAGCCCTCCGCAGGCTGCAAGTCACCAATGAGGCCCATCTGTTCCCTCGCCCCGGAGCCAGCTGCATCGTCCCCCGCGCCAGGACCAAGGGCCAGGCGTCCCCCAGGGCGTGCTTGCCCAGCTGAGCCAGGAAGCCTGGCCGACTTGACCCGGTCTGGGGCCCCCCGAGCTTCTCCCAGGAATTCTTCTGCCACGTGGGAAGAGCCAGCACCGGCCGGCCTCACCTGGCTGCCGTGCTGCCTCAGCAGAAAGTCCTCCGCCAGAGCCACGGCCTGGGAGCAGGTCTCGGGGCCGCGCTCCCGCACCCAGCCCTGGATCTCCGGCGGCAGCACCGCCAGGAACTGCTCCAGGATGAGCAGCTCCAGGATCTGCTCCTTCGTGTGCCGCTCAACCTTCAGCCACTGCCGGCACAGCACCTGCAGCTGCCCGCACACCGCCCGCGGGCCCTTGGCCTCCCGGTAGCAGAACTGCCGGAAGAGCAGGCGGCTCTTCTCGCGGCGGAGGGCCTCTCCGCGCAGCAGGGCTGCCCGCACCTTCGCGTAGTCCTCCCTGTCTTCGGCCTCCAGCGCACGGAAGGCCAGCGCAGCCTCCCCGCTGAAGGCCGGCAGGAGGCGGGCCACCCACTCCCCCCGGGGCCAGCGGCAGGCCTCGGCCACCTGCTCGAAAGAGGCCAGGAAGGCCGGGGTGTCGCCCCATGGGGGGGACGCCTCAGGCGGCGGGGGGTCTTCCACGGTCTTCAGGAAGGCCTGCCACTGGGCCTCCCAGCGGCAGTCCAAGCCCTCCTCCGGCTCCTCCTTCACCCCGCGTGGGGGCGCCCCCAGGGGGGACCCCTCCTGGCCGCCCGGGCCCATCGCTCCCAGGACACCACGGCTGCTGTCCATCTTGAGCCTGGAGTCCGCCATGCTCCACGGACCGTGCGGGGCTCCTCCAGGTCCCTCGGCTCCTCCCAGGGGAGCGCTGCCCGTGCCGTCCTGCACCTCCGTTTTCATTCCTGGGCTCTCCTGGAAAGGCAGCGCCGAATCTCGGGGAACGATGCGGATGCGGACGGCTGCGCTCCTGCTTCCACCGGGAAAACAGCTGGAGCTGGGGGGAGAGAAGAGCAAGGGAAATGAGGCGCTAGTCCTCAGCGAAAGCAACTGCCGGACCAGCAGGCGCGCGTGCCGCGTGGGGAAATCGCCCCGCCGCACGTGCCCTTCCCAGCATCGGTCTGCGGCGCAGGGAAAGCCGGCCGGGCGCGCACGGGTCGGGCAAGGGGCCCCCAGCGGGCAGACGCCCCCCT